TGACAGCCTCTGTGTTAATGAATTCTAAGAGCAAAGGCTATTTTTATTTGAAGGACCCTTTGTAGTTAAGGGAGAATGAATCATAGAAACCCATAAAATATGCCAGACCACTGTGAAACCACTGTATTTCTCAAAGCCCATCACAAATTCTTATCAGCCCTTTTCCCATTAAACAGCTTTTGATAACAAAACAGCACCAAGTGCAGTGTTAGGAACTGCAGACCTGGACTAAGGAACAGGACAAGGGGGAATGTTTTAAGCTGAAAGAAGGTAGGTCCAGGTGAGATATCAGGATGAAATTCTTTGCTGGGAGGGAGGTGAGGCACTGAAAGAGGTTTCCCAGAAAAGCTGTGGATGCCTCATCCCTGGAAGTATTCAAGGCCAGGTTGGATGGGGCTCTGAGCAACCTGGTCTAGGAAAAAATGAACCTGCCCATGGCAGGGGGGTTGGAAATGGATGGTCCATTCCAATACAAACCATCCTGTGATTAATATTAGGAAATAGTTTTTATGACAAATGACCATTATGTAAAGCTAATTTAAATTGGTTTATGTGTCAGGATATATCTTGCTAATAAAAGAAAAAAAAAGTAGTTTTATCAAGCCATATAAACATCAACAGTTGATTGCATTTTGTGGTGGGGAAAAAGATATCAAAACTGCAAAAAGAATAAAGCAATTCTAAGTCAGTCTGGGCAAAAAGAACAATAATATGCAAAAGGTAAATTAGTTGGCTCAACATTGCCTCTAGGAACATAATTACGCATTTTTAACAAAAGGGAGATCTAGAATGTTAAGGCTTCTCCTCAGGAACGTAAGAAATGGTAGCTTCTAGTAGTCACTGATGCACAGAAGCACAAACCCCTCAAAGAAGTGACCACTTTCACTGCTGAGTCCCTTTAACTCTTTACATAAAATTTAGGCTGTCTTGAAGTTAAGGAACACAAAAACAAAGGGAGAAAAAAGAATAGTAAAAAAAAAAAAAAAACACCACAAAAAAACAACACAACACAAAAAACCCAGAGGCCCAAGTGGCAGAGCTGAGTCTCATTTGGTTCTCTGAACCTTTCTTCTGCCCCAAACTTTCATCTATAGATCCTTCTCAAGCAGGGAAAGAACTTGTGAGGAGCTTGTGCCTGCATGATTTCTGTACAGCCTCCGAGCTGTTAAATCTGAAATCAGAAACACAATCCCCTAAGGCTGGAAATCCTGGTAATTTTGGTCCTGTTGCAGGTGTTCAGATGCTCTGCACCAGTGGCTGTATGATTGCCTCCATAAATAGTTAATCAGACCCGTTACACTTAATAAAAACAAGTCAAAGTTTAAGTCACCGTGGAATACCCAGCCCTTGGCTTCAATGCGTGAATGAGTTTGAAAGGAGCTGGCTGTTACAATAAAAATAACACATTTAGCTATTAGCTGGTTTTTCCAGGGAAGAAAGCATGACAGAGCAGTTTGGGCCTAGAATTTTTGATGGATTAAAAGAACAACTTTGGATCTTATCTTCGATGTCACATAATGTGGGATTTATAAGCAAATTTAATTAAATAACAGATACAGAATGATCAGACTTCAGTCATGACAGCAACAAGCTCCTGCAGTGCTCATAATTATCATTTATTCTGTGCCATGCACAGGTCTGATTAGAATTTGAAATGAGCAAGCTCCAGTTCAGCACTCGGCACGATTATTTCGCTCCTGTGCTCTGAATAATTGCAATCTTCCCAGTCTCCACATTTGGAATTGTGTTTTCTTGGAACTCAGATTAGCAGTGAGAAACATATATAATGGACAGACAGAACAGATTTATTTATCATTTCAAATTCCCCTTGCTACCTGTCTGCCCTTCTCTATTGTCAAGTGGATTTTTGCCTCTCTTCCATCAATTAATTTTGCCTGATTACCTGCCTGCTTCTCTTCCCTCCTGATTCCAGAGCACAGATGCTGAATAAATGCCTTTATTACCAGGTCCTTCTAGTTCAGTGAGACAATATGAAGACCTACCAAATATTTATGAGTTCTAGTCAGCTGTTGTGGTAACACATAAGTGAGACAGCAGATCTTGGAAGCGGCAACTGCTGACCCTTGCCAGGCAACCCTGAATTCCACTTAGGCAGCTTTACATGCCAAGAAATCAGTCACAGTCTGTTGCACACGTTGGTTTGTGTACAGATTTTGCCATTCACACAAGTGTTCTAACAGTTAACTCCCTGTATGCAGCTGCATTTAGGCATCCACTTAATACAGACCACAAACTTAAATTCCGTTTCGTGTGTGCTATTTCCTAAATAATAAAATACCCCCAGCAAACTCTGATGTTTTGTTAAACATGTTTCCTCTCATTTGATTTACATTATAATAAAGCTGTCAATGTTAGTGCAGCACTTGAAAGGTCTCCTGATCCCTCCTCCTCCTGGAAGCCTCAGTCTGGAATATGAAGCACAGCATCTGATTTAGTATTCTCTGTGTGCATGGTAACATTGACCTTGTGCCTCAAGTGGTTTTAATATTTCAGAGATACGAGGATTAAACTCCATGGGAACATAGAATGGAATAGTGGCAGGGCAAGAAGTGATGAATTAAAAAACATTTTTAAAAAATCATGTCCTATGTGATCAGACATCTAAATTAAAGTAATTTTACTGTCAAAACAATCAGTTAACTATGAAAGTAATTAAGCAAATGGTGTCATTATTCTTTAAACCTCTCTGAGAATGTTTGATGTGCTTAGTGGATAGCTGATAGTGATAGAGTGATAGTGATAGCTCAGGGGAAAGCTGATGCCTTTGTTTAGCTCCTCCACAACCTGCTGTTCAATGCTCAGCGTGCCAAATATCAGCACTTCTTAGGATGACCTGGATCATCACAGTCCTCAAGCAGGCAGCAAATGTCTCAGCAGTAAGGTGGAATTTTTAAAGAAGTTAGAAGGACATATTTTGAAGTCCAGAATTTGTCCTTCACTCCTCTGACTTCTTGAATCTCCACCATGAAGCAGGGATGAGACCCAGTGTGTGGTGTGGCAGAGACCAGCACTGCTCCTGAGCATCCCATCTCTGGTACAACACCAACACAAGCTGGAAAGCCCTGAGATTCTGTGAAGTCATGGACAGCACATGGTGGGTTCTGGTGTTTCAAGCTATTTTTGATATTTCAGTGAGTTTTAGCATGTTTTATCAGGTTTAGCAGAGCATTTATAGCTTTTTTGTGTTTGGGGGTTCTTTTGTGCATGCGTGTTTTTTACCTTTTTTCCCATTTTTCAGTGGTTTTAGCAGTACAGCTTCTTCCTTTTGCCTTTCCCAAGATTCTTAGAGGCAATAAAACCAGCAGGGAAGTGAAACTGTCCTCTGGCTACATCAGGCTAATCATCAATTAACTCCTATGTGAAGATGAGCCAGAATATTTTCCCCAAGATACTCCCAAAGCAACAGAGAAAAGTAGAGAAAAACATTTTCAAGAACAGCATATCTTTTAAATTTATAAACAGAAATTAACATTTCTTTCTTATTTTTTACCTCTTGCCTCTAGCAAGTGTTTATAAACCTTTCCCTCTACAAATGACTGGAAGGAACCTGGAAACAAGAAAGCCAAATTAGGACCTAGGCAAGAATATTCTCAAATTACAAATAACCCAATGAAGAGTTCAATATCATTGTGAAACCAAAATTGTTTTGTCTGAGAACAGAGATATAAAATTGAGCTGTTTGGGATCCATCACAGCTTGGGCTCAGGCAGTAAATTTAATGTAGAAAATGAAGAGTAATTCTACTCTTACAACTCTTTCAGAGAACAAGATGAGATAGTAAAAGTTTATAGATATTGCCTTTGAAATATTTGCTGCTATGGAGATAGGAAGGGACTTGCAATTCCTACAATAAAAAAAATCCAAACCAAATCAAATTTAACTCAATTATGTCCTTTACCCTAGGATTTTAAAGAGCTCTGGAAATTCATGCTTTAGCACATCACTGGTGAGAATGACCCAGTCCCACCCTGGGAGCTGCAGTTCAAAATTCAGAGAACAGAACTAGAACATCTCCTTATGGACTTGTCAAGAGTTAAGCCAAACTTTCTGATAGCATAATAAATAGCCAGTATGTCATCGTTTTTTTGTTTTTAACTGCAATTTTTGAGCTAGAAATATAATGGAATTGCTATACCACTGTGCAAGCCTAACCCATCTAATAAATTAAACACTCCAAATGAAAATTAATGGATTTTTTATCCACTACAAGAAATTGTTTCTGTAAGTCAGAACTCAACCTGCTGTGCTGCTGAGAGCAAAAAGTGCACTTTGGTAATTGAGATGACTGATCATTTGTCAGGCATCAATATTGGTTATGTGAGTTTTCATTCTCAGATCCTCCAGGGAATTGATTTCCCCAACCTGAATCACAGGAGCATTATTTTACAGAGGGTTTATTGTCTCCCCCTTTGCTTGATGAACATGAATAAAAAGAGATAACTCTGAGAAGAGCCAGCCAAGCATTATAACCCTGGGAGCCATCCTGCATCCTGGAAAATTTCCTTGCCCTGTGGCACAACCCACGTGGCTGTGGACTGCTCAGAGCACCAAAAAAATGCATTGGTTTTCTTGCAAGCAGGATCTGAGCAGATGAACTTGCTGGGCTATTATGCAAATAAGGACTTGCAATTTCTGGAAAACAATGCCATCATTTTCACAATGCCATTTTTAAGACTTCTGCTGCCAAGGCAGTTTTCATAAGAAGACATGCAATTTGTTAACCATTCAAAATCCTCTGAAGGGTACACAGCACTTGTGAGCTGTGACGATGTGCTTTCCTCTCTGGTGTTCTCCATCTGGAAATTTCCTTATGCATTACAAAGCAGGATGTTTCAACACTCAACCAAATTTGGAGAGAGGGGAAAATCAGTGCTCTTAAAAATGAAGTGATGCCTCATTGACAATAAGTCACAAGGGTAATCAGAAATAAACCAAAGCTCCCCTGTCAAGTATTCGAAATATAAAATTTGCTGCCTCTCTTCATTAGAAAAGGATTTCTTTTATTAGTGAAATGTGCCACACTTGATGCATTCAAATTCTTTTACAAGCTATAGATAAACCTGACAATGTGGTGTGGAGACACTGCATTTTAATCTCCATGGCAGGGACGAAATAAGAGCAGCACAGAAATTTTACGCCACTTGGCCATCATCACACACTGAGCCTGTGTAAGAGTACAATAGCTCATCTGCTCCTCACATTTGCAGAAATGACACAAAAAACCTACCCCCAAAGAAGGTTTGGTGGGCCTGTTCAGATGACCACTTACCCACAACATTGATTATTAAAACAAAGCAGCCTCCATAGATTGGAGGAACAAAACTGGCTGTTTGGGAAGAACAGATGTTTTGTTTTTGTCATATTGTCCTGCTTCCCTCCAAGGTTAATTTTCTTCATCCACTTCTGTGTTCCCTCTCTCCCCTCCTCTCCCTCTTACAAATCTGCCTCTCCTGGCTTGAGAAATTGGGATGAGCAATATTTCCATTTGGGGGTGTACTTTTCTGCTTCTGCAGAATCAGAGGCCAGAGCAGAGATTGCAAGGTATTTCAGTTTTAAAAGTAGCTGTTTTGGATTCCAAACCCAAGTAAGGAATTGGTCCAGCTGGACCAATGTCGGTTCAATCTGCCCAGCTGGGTATCTGCCCAATTGGCTATCAGAGTTGGAGAGCTCAGGGAAGACTCCTGTATGACAGCTGCAATTTAAATATAAAAAAAACCACACACAGTTGCATGAGAAGTAGAACAATGAATAACACAGAGAATTTTAAAATGTTGTTCATATCACCCCAGCTAAAAATACATGCAGCTGTAGCATCAGAGAAAGAGAGATGAGACATAAAAAAATAGGTGTAGAAGCACACAGAATCCTGGTATTGCTCACTAACAAAAGATGCTGTTATTCATCACAGAATTAATAATGAATATTGTAAAGGCGACACATCAGCACCTTCAGTCTTGCCAATCTCACAGCCAGATTACAAAGACAGACCTGTGAGAGTTTTCTGAATATTCTGGAGAAACTGCAGACTCAAAGTCAGGCTTAGAAGAGGACATAGCACTCCCAGTATCATTTGGTCACCTCTTTCACCCACTACTGATGAAGAAGTTTCCATGATATATTCACCTCTGCACACAAAATCTTAAGTCATCAGTGACTGAAACTGAAATATTCATATTTGGGTAGAATTGATAAATACCTACCTGATCTGAGAGGATTTAAGGAGTCTGTAGCCTCACCACCAACCAGCAGAAACCCACTAAACAACATGTCTATTTTTGCTGCACCTCTCCAGTGTTGCTCTATCCCTTTGATGCATTGCTGAACTGAACCATTGAGGAAACACAGAACTGGCAGAGCAGCCCATCATTTAAAAGGGAAAGAGAGCTGATCTCAGCCTGGCCAGCAGCTCCCCCTTGGGAACCATTCCAGCAGCCAGAATCAGCAAGGCAGGATGGAGTCCGACCAAGAGCACATGGCCCTCAGTCATTGGCAAGGAGGTGGCAAAGCAGCTCTGCTCCATTTGGGCTTTGCAGAGCACCAGGAATCTTTTGTAGATTGGTTTCTCTGTCTTTTTGAAAGGCTTGAAACAGCCATGCTGATGTGCCTTAATTCTGGAGAGAAACTATATCCAGAGTTTCTGCAAGTCATAAAGTCTCAGGGCAAACTGCTTTTAAAAGGACAAGTTATTTTTGTAGCCAACAATGCTGGTGACTGCAAAGGTTGTCTCAACAGTAAACAAATTTCCAGGTCTTTGAGTGCTCAGTAGTTCTGACTCTACCCTCTAGCACAGCAAGGCACAAAAACAGCATGACAAAACAAGAAATGACAAAAGTAACGTCCTCATTTGAGAACACACTCTTTATCTCTGATAAAATCTGCACTCTTATCTGTGTGATAATCACGCTTCTCTACATGGAAGTGGGTTTCGTGGGTGTCAAAACATGCTGCAGAGAGAAAACAGAGTCCTACAGTCCAATGGAAAGAAGCATCATCAATTCATAATTGCTCCCAGTGCTCCTGGATAAGAGACTGTCTCTAGATACTATCAACAGACTTATTATATATATATATATATTTTTTTTTTCTTTGAAGGGATCTCTGTGCTCTGGCAGCTTTTATTGGGATTTCTCTAGAAAATATACTCGTAATATATGGTACACAGGTTTTCATTTAATGAGAAACACAGGGGCAAGACTTTCTAATCTGGTGATGTATCAGTGCTGGACTGAGTGCTCATAGATTAGAAAAAAGTAGATACAGTCATAGCAAATTACTTCTGAACTTCTCTGAAGCTTAAAAAACTGCTATTACAATCCAAAGGAAGCGTGACAAGGTTCATCAAAGATTCATTGCTTGTTGTTGTAGACTTCAAATGATGAATGAGAGAGGGTACATTAAAATTCTGCTGCTGCCACTAGCACTTCAGGAAGCTTTTGGAGGATAAATACTGCTTCTACTTAAAGGCAACAGGTTTTGAAAGAATGAGTCACATTTTCCAATACAACTTAACAATCTTGTTTAATAATTAACATAAAGGGGCACTGGCTGCTCTCATCAGGCAAACACATGCTAGGAAATACAACAGATTCCTCCCCAGATATTCAGATATTCAAAGCCAAAGCATTGCATGCTGCTGGGATCATGGCAGTGCTCTGGGTGACAGGCAGGACTGATCAGCTTTTTCCTCCTGCAGACCTTGCTAACTGCATCTAGGTTTTCAAGGCCAGAAAATCAGAGAAGGAGCACATTCAGGGAATATCTTTGACATCCCTTGAGAAAAGGCTCTCAGATGACCTGAGGTGGCATGGCTTACAATGACCCCACAGCAGCAACTCTGAACCTGCCAGCAGCACTTGTCAAAAACGTGTTCTAAATTAACATGTTAGAAATACAGTTTCCTTTTCTTGGTCAGTATAACCCCATAAGTGATGCCACTGTTTGGACCTGCTTTTTGTGGCAGGTAAAACACAAAGATAACAGAAGAGCACTTCCTTTGTTCATTATATTAACAGACAAGAATTTATTCAGTTTTTAGATGGCCTGTGTGGGTATGTGCATATAAAGGAGCACGTAATTAAATACTAAAGTATTTAAAAGCCTATAAGCAGACAATAAAGGGGATATAAAACCCACTTTATATTCCTTTAGAGTTCATCTCATGCAATGTCTTAGACAATATAAACATGTATTTTAAAAAGCCTGCTTCAGGGCTGAATTTGAGGATCTAGAACCAAAATGTTAGGTGGCAAAATTCAAGGGTGATAGAATCTGCAGTGGATCAAAGAAGGGGTTAAAACAGGCCAAATGCCCCCAGCAACCTGCACAACTCCACAGCATGGCAGGTGACACCAGTGCCTGTAAATGGGACATGGTCCTCCTGTGAACACAGCTCTGCTGCTCTGCAGCCTACAAAAATTTATCATCCTTTGCCAGATTGAGACAACTTCTGTGCTGCTGATCTAGGCTAATAACAAATTTGTGCTATTGCACATTTAAACATCAAACTCCTGTAGGAATGAGGCTTTATTAATTTTCCAGGATGAAAGGGAGTCTATCAAAATAGCTAATTTCCATTTGTACCTAGTTACAACCAAACTGGAATAATTTTATTTGCAAATAAATATCCACAAGCAGATGAAGGATTTGGATTAGAACCAGTGCCACTGTTTTTTAGTCTGAGCTTGCATTGGGTTTGCTTTAAATGCAGCACTGAAAGATGCATGAAACAGGATCCAATGGGTGGTAAAGAAAGAGGATAAATGGGTAAAGCCAAAAGGAATTAGAAGACTGCAAAATACTGACATGGGGAGCAGTTTTGATCACTATTCTTTACATTTTAGTGCTTTCTGGCAGCATCAAATTACAGCACACATGCATTCAGAGGCTGGAGCACACCTCAGTTTGTCAGTAGGCCCTGAGGCACAGCACCAGCCCAGGTCAGGTACCCATCTTGGTGGCAGTGGAACAAATGCATTTTGATTAATTCCACTGAATTCCATTGTTTCCTCCCATGAGAAAAAGTATTCATTATTTAGGATTGTAATACCACCTAGATGTGTAATTCCTGATTTCAGCTGTGCAGTACCAGGCACTACTCAGAGAGAGAAATGCCGCCATCTCCCAAGAGCTCATAAAACAGAGAGAAATCCTGCTTTGCTTGTTCTACAAGACTTGTACTATGTTTTACTTGTACTATTAAGTGCTTGGTGCTTTACATTACTATGCACAGGTGAGAGCCCTTCCATAAGACTGGATGACTTCTGTGCTATTTAAAATGTTTCCAATAAATCTTGGGGTGCTCTGTAAAAGTTGATTTTTCCAGTCAGCGTTTCACACTGATGATCAGTGACTGTAAATCTGTTTAAAAACATTGAAACTGTCAGAACAGTGGGACAGACAAATTTCTTCAGGTCTGTCAGGAGACTGGTGATATTAGGGATAATTTTTTAAGAAAAATGGAGCAACATCTCTTTGAGATTTAAACTAAACAAGAAATTTTGGCTTTTAATACTTTATTCTGTTGCCATAACGCAGTACTCAAATATGGGGTTTCATTATTAGGAAAAAAATTAAAAAGCACTTTACATTCCTCAGAGTTTTACTGAGAGTTTGACTTCACTAAAATTCATGGAGTTGGGCCACAGAAGCATATTTTCTCTTACATGGGAAGTTGGCCAGCAATTAGAGGTAATAAAATAACTACTTCAAGTGTGCAAGCACTAAAAAATTAAAAAACCACTAGACCTGTGGTTTATTAAATTGCATCAGATTATTGTCTGCAGCAAAGAACTTCATTCTTTGGTTGAGGTGTATAATTGAAATACATCATCAGAATTTTGTTACAGCATGTTCACATGTTTTCTGGGAGAAAAGAAGGGAATATTGTATTTCATGGGAGAATTTTCCCTCCTTCCCACCTGCAACTGTGTTACTGAGCAGAACAAAACTAAATCAGAACAATGTGTTCATGAGCAATGGATGATGGAAAATTCACCAGAGCAGGAATCTGGACTGAGATCACCAATGTAAAGTTCAGTGGAGCATGGATGGCAGCCTAGTACTTGCTGCTTCCCAAAGAATAAAAAACTCAACTCTTGGTTTCTTTTGACCTTTTCATCTCCTGTTCTATTTAGAGCAACTCAAGCTTTATCTAACATCCAATAACATTCTTGATGAACTAAACTTACTGTATTTGTTTGGTTTTTTTCCTATTTTTAATTCCCACCAACGTCCTGGTAGAAATTGTGCAGTGTTAAGTGGGGCTCACATGAAACAGAAGGCATGATTTCCATCAACTTCCATGTACCCAGATTTTTACCAAGTTGGAATAACTTTCTGTGGTAGCTTAGCATGAGCATTGAAATTTTACCCTTATCCATCAAAAATGCAGGTTCCCTTTCCATTAACATAATTCAGTTTAATGGATGTGGTATCAAGATCTAAAGAATCCTACCAGCAAAAGCCTAGAGACTTTCCAGTGCAAACCTATTCCCCACATAGAGAGAATTGGCATTAAATGGAAACAATGAATAATCATTTAACTCCAGTAAATTCAAGGATTTCGGATTATGTGCTGTGATTTTTCTTTTTTTTTTTGGCAAAAATACCTGTGTGGAGATGGAATGAAGAAAGGGAAAGCAACAGATTGCTAATACCCTTGCTAACAATGTAGGATTACTCATGACCCCAACAGCATTGCCAGATCATAACAACCTCAGAGCAGTTTCTGTAAGGTGTAGGTTGAAGAACTTTTTCTTTCTCTTCCAGGGGCTTAGTGCAAAAGGAAGAATATGGCTCAAGGAAGCAGATGGAAAAACATTTCTGACAGCTTAAGTACAGTTAATTATTTGTAGGCGAAGCATTCTGCTATCAGCACTGATTTGCTGTGCTTGAAACTGAAACAGTCAGAGCAGCAACAATTTTATTCAGCATCACTGCAATTACCTGACTATAAATAGGAGACCTTGCCTTTCATCCCTTCCAGGAACAGCTAAAGGCCAGCACACTGTGTAGATGCCTCTTTGGTAAGCAGCTCATCCAAGTCTCATCCTCTCCCATATTTTCCACCTCTTACCTTTTTCTTTTAAGCAGATTCAATAGTTACTGGAAAAAGAAAAAAAAAGAGAGTACAACATGTATGGGAAGAGTTCACAAGGTAAGTGTCACCTCTTTCACTTCACAGATAGTGGAGCTGAGGAAAATGAATACTCATTTAAGAACATGTTCATTTCACATCTGCTCCAGAAGGAGCAAAGGGTGATGATGTGTTTTCTTGTGTCTTCTGGGATTTATCTCAGAAGATTTATAAGTAAATCCCAGAAGATTCTTCTTTCTGTGAGAGAAGAGAATTCTGCTCCTAAATAATGACATCCAGCCTTCTGGGAAAAAGAGACAGGAAGAAAGCAGGCTTGCAGAGGAAATCTCCAGCCTCCACTAACCAACAAGGAGGAACTGGAGACAAAAAGGATAGCACAGATTATTTCTCCCTCAAAAGTGTGACATGGGGAGGACACTTCCTTGTGACCAAAGATCACAGTACTCTTTTCTATTCTTCCCTGGCTTTGGTTAAAGCAGAATCTCAGAATCTCCTGAGCTGGAAGGGACCCACAAGGACCATCAAGTCCAACTCCTGGCTCTGCAGACTAAATTCAATGAAAGGGAATATAATATTAATCAGTTTTTCCATCAGCTTTAAGATTTACATCAAAGAGACACAAAATGCTATGGAGAGCTGTATGATTACTTTTTTGAATAAGTATTATTGGAAAGAACTGAGACTGTTAGCTTTCATTGTCCACTCACAGCAAGGACTAATTAGAGTAAGACACTCTCCAGAATACTCTGAACAATTGTGATTATTCACTCTTAAGAAAGATTAATTTGACTGGAAAGACAACAGAGAAACCCTTTAAAGAAGACATGGAGAATAGAGTTTTCTATGGGAGGACAGGAGACAGCTCACTTTTAACAGAATGGAGGGTGAAAAGGACTTCTTTCTCTATATATTGAAATCTTAAGCAGCATGAGAGAAAGTGTACTTAGGCTAATGTTGGCTCAAAACCAAGTGGAATAAATTATCTAAGAATAAATTTATTCTGGAAATGCAAAAAAAAAAAAAAAATTCAAGTACCAGAGCAGTGAAATCCTGGAAACACTCACTCAAAGCAGTAGTAGGACCAAATGAAGTGTTCTGCTTTCCAGTGGAGCTTGGTAAGTGTATTGATGAAGTTGCCTGAAACAGAGAACCTCTTTCAAATGACCAAACACACCCACTGCAGACCTTGAAGTCCCCTGAGGTTACATTCAGAAGACCCAATAAACAACTGCTTTTTGTGCAAAGTCAAGAGTTACAGCCCAAGGCCAGTTACCAAAACTCACAGAGCTTCTACTCAGCCCTGCAGGCAAATAATTGACCTCCTACCAGTCCAGCTCATCCCTGAACCTCAGGACCTGAAAACTGTGTGTTTTTAGGCAAGAAGCCATCATACTTTCACCCATCCAACCTCACAAAATTCCAAGCCTTTCAATGAAACTGACTTGAAAACATGTATTTGGACTATAGGGAACCTGAAGTAATTTCTTTTCATCTGCTATGAAATCCTGGAAGATGCATGGAACGATTCAGTCACCAGCTCAGAGATGAAAGTTTTATGAGGTAGCAAGACATCTACAAGTTATTCACTGAGACTTGTTCCTGTGAATCTGGTTCCTGTACTGCTGTAGAACTAGATGATTTAGTCAGGATGCAGAGATGAAATTCAGTTACAGACAACAATCAGCTTTTCATGGGTTGTGCATTAATTATTCCTCTGCAGCAGGGCTCCATCAGATAGCTCTGTAACGGTGCAGTGAAATTCCTCAGCTCAGGCCCACTCCAAGGGAACATTTCTGTATTGCCAGCAGGGTCAGTGTGATTGCAAGAGCAGTTCAGCCACCTCTGTGGTGGGTGCAATCCAAACCTATGAACCATCAGAGTCCAAATCAGCTTCCCAACATCTGATCTGGCAGCCTTATGCTTCTAGAACTGGGCATACTACATTGTATGAAGACAAAATGCATCTAATAAAAACAAACTACTGTAAATTAAAGAATGTCAGCCCTTGGGACAACTTCATATAAATATTGTTAGAATGATCCCAGTATAATAATGCTTGCACAGGCCTAGCTAGCCCCATTCCAAGCAATGCCCAGGCAGGATCTGAGAGCTGGCATGCTCCAGGAGCAGAGTTATCATGCAGCCACTGTGCTTTGCTGGTTAACAGGATTTAATTTTGTTACTGCACAGACCAAACCAGAGTGAGTCCTGGCACTGCAGGCACCCAGTAACTCCAGCTCCACAGGGAACATGCCAGACTCAGCAGCCATGGTGAGACTGCATCTCTCCAGCTGAGCTGCTGTGCCCAGCCTAGAGACACCTCAGAGCTTGGTACATGATCAGTCTGCTGGCTCTCAGTAGCCAGACCAAAGGTGGTGACCAGGGAGCTCCTGCTAACAGGACCAGCTGTGAACAAGACAGATGGGCCTCTCCACACTGTTCTGGGCCAATCTCTGGTAGAAACCCACCTTATGCAAGAGCTAAGCATTGTCTGTGAAGGCTCTGGTGTTAGTCTCAAGTTTACAGCCTTGCTACTACCCACAGCACCAGTGACTTTGAGGGAATGAGTCTGGGTTCACCTGGATCAGAACTGAAATATATTTAGCAGCAGTTCTGGACACTTGATGCCTTTGACCTGGCAAACAGATGGACCTAAAATGTAAATAGATTGTGATTATTTATGCAGATATGTATTTGTATATACGTATATATGTATAAAGATATGCAGCCCATATAAATGAATTCATATGAGAATTCTATGACAAAATTTTAAAACTTTTAAATTATAAAAAAACTGAACATCTTCCAATAGGAACCTCATACAAGACAAAGACATTTTGTGTATTTGTTCCAGCTTAAATTTTACAGCAGAAGTAAAACTGCAAAACAGAATTACAGACCACAATTAGCTGGTCCAGTATTTGCTATCCAGCATTGTGATAAATATAATAGCTATGTTACAATCCTCTTTAAATATATGCAGCTGTTACCTGGTTTGGGTTTGTTTTTCAGTCAGAGGAATACTATTCTGATAAGTGCTTGGCCTGATTAGGTTAAACCCAATGTATTTCTACATCTCACTGAATGGTGTTGGTGCATCACAAATGAAGTACAGAAATATACTGGATGTTCACCTGCAGGAATAGCATATAGTTAGAATACAGAACACTGAAACTGCAAATTCTTTTGGCATTGTTGTTTTGGTGGGGAAAAAAACCCCCAACAAACTAAAACCACTGAAGCAGTTCCATGAGACTTGACATCCCTGTTTGACTAGTGTCATGAGAACAGCCCTGCAGTTCAGTCACATATCCATCCAAAGTCCACTCACTGCTTGTTTTCAGAATGCTGTACAGCTCTTCTTTCCATGTAAGATCATCTTGTCCTGTGCTTCCTCAGTCCAGATTAGTCCTTAAGAAAAGGAATGTTGCTTCCTGGAAGACAGCAGGGACTACAGGCATTATAGTTTTAATGAATCCATTAAACCAAGCAGCATTATCCCTGGAAAGGTGAATAGTTGTATAATTTGGTCCACGTTGTTGCAATTTTTTTTCTTTGCTTGGGTTTTGAAAATCATTTGCTGCAAGACATTGAGAAACAGGAGACAAACAGAATTAACTCAGCCATTCTCCCATGGTATTCTGCTTCTCTTTGCTGGATCTCTCTTTCATGTACCGTATTTACTGCTGGGGTTCAAAGTTTTCCTCTTTGCTGGTTTTAATCATGCATCCCTTGGTTCACTCGTCCTTGCACCTCCAGCCTTTGTTGTTTTCAGTCCTTAGTGATGATCTTTCAGTTAAGAGCTCACCAGAGTGTAGATCATGCTGAATGTAAAAGAAAGACACAATATGAAAGTATCCCTTTGAAGCATGCAGAGCACTTTGATTTTTATAACCCTTTGCTGTCTGTTCCTCAGGTCTGGCTGTAATGGCCTCTGCTTTCCTTTGCATTCCTTCTATCTCTCTAAAGCATCTTAATTATGGTGTATTCAAGATGGGTATCAAAAGGCACTCAAGAAATAACAAATTCATTATCCACATCCTCCTGCACCACAAGCTGTGTTTGAGCTTTTTAAAGCTCAATCTGATGTCTGGATTTGAACAGCAAAGAAACAAAACCATTTTGCTTTAGCGTGTTTGATCTTTCAAACTTCAACCAGCAACTCTCAGCAGGGCAGGCAAGGTTTTCCATGAAATTCCATTGTTTTGATTCCTTTGGAAAAAAAACTCTGTGCACTAGAAGAAACATAAAATGCAGCCACCAGCTGGACTGAATCCATACATATTAAATGCAACTCTGAAAAGCAGAGAAAACAGTATATATTGCCACAGCTCCATTTTGCTGCAATTCTAATTCTGCCAATACCCAGGAAAGCATTGAAAAAATGTCTCTAATTTATACTATTTTATCTAGCACCAGGCAGTGGATTTTGGATGGTGGCCGTGTTTTAGATTGAAGGGCTCAGAGGAAGCTGCACAGCAGTAAAGTCTCAGGATAAATGCCACACCACACTGCTGAGCTGACTTTGATCCCAACACAAAAATGTGGAGTTAAAAAATGCTTTTTCCCCAAAAACCTCAATAACATTTAAAAGGAATACTGAGAAACAACAATGTGCAGCAGTGACTCCTGAAGGTGTGGTAACGGCAGCACAGGTCAGACACCAACAATCAGAGGAGAAAAACACATTTTTCTTCCACCAGCACAAAAACCTGCCTTGCAGAGGGATGACATGCAAGACTGGCTTGAAGAGGCAACTCTAAGCAAATACATCATGGAGGAAGGAGTAGAAGAAAACTACAGCATCACCTCCATTTAAAGTTTGTTAGAGTTTGTTGTCCAGTAGTTTTTATGGTGTGACTACACTGGGATCCTGGCAAGGCCTTACCTTAAATGATCCTGATGTATTTTTGCTCTGAGCATTTGTGCCTGTGCACCGAGGACTGTGACAGCTGAAAGGGGCAGGGGGACAATGCCCAGTTGGTGTGCACATCTCCATGAATACACTTTATTTAGGGGTTTGGTTCATGCACAGGCTTTGCCCTGTCATGAAAGGGAACCTGTAGGAATGACTAGGGGCATGGTGCATCCCATGTTCCAACCCAACATCTACCTACACATTTATTTACCATCTTGAGTATTACTACACCAAAAGTATAGTATTTTTATAGTATTTTTATAGTATTGCGTATTACTATATATAGTATAGTATATAGAATTGAGTATTACTATACCAAAGGTATAGTATTTTTATGGTATTACTATACCAAAGGTATAGTATTTTTCTTATGATTCTCTGGAATCATATTATTTGATGTAATGCCATTAGCTCTATTTTACCATCCCAAAAGATCATACAGAGAAGCAAAATTTATTTCCTTTGGTTGGTGCTGGGGCCTGGATCAGGCCTTAGGTAAACACTAAATATTCTGTACTGAAGTGCCAGCACTAAGCAGGAGTGCTTCCCTCAATCAACAGCAGAAGCAACCTTTTATGAGACTAAGGACATTGTCCAACTGGTTCCAGACATTCCTAAATGCAATTCCACAAATGAAATGAAAGGCAGCTTAGTGAAATGGCCAGACTTACCAGTAGAGATAGTAGAAGAAGGAAAGGAGGTAGAAGGCCAGCTTACACCAGGCCTCTTTCTGGCAGTAACTCAAGGTGTCTGCATTCATGACTGCAGGTGGATCATAGGCCAGCTCTGAGCTGTCTGCTGGGCAACGAAAATACCTGAAAGAGCAGGAGAAGACACCTGGAATGATTCTCTAGTAATCTTTATTAAGTATGTGCAGACACACACCTGACTATCATCTTCCATGATAAAGCAGGAATTCCCCTTTCTTTCCCAAGTCTCTATTTCCAGACATTGTAAAAATCAGGATGCCAGTCTAAGCACTCCTTTCTTACAGAACCAAGCAATTAATGAATGTGGATTTTCTGTGGTCTATTAATTCTTCAGATCAAAACATTTCCCCTTCTTACAGAGTTATTTCTGGCTTATCCACTCATAGCTCACATATTGTGAGTGACAATATATGGTGGTTTGTGATCACAGAGAAGAGGAAGGATTATGGGGCTTTTACTGCACCTACACAACTGATTTCAGACACGATGAAAGGTGACAGTCCCAACCAACTGGTAGCTAAGTTCCTCCAACTCTGAAAAGGAAAAAAGCCAATATGGAGCAATGTAAGAAGTGGCTGACCAATGTTTTCTACATGTGGCATTGCTCAAAAATTTTCATCCAAATAATTTTCTTAAAAAAATATTTTTGTTCTTACACAGGACAAATTTCTAATTATTCTCAGCAATGACTGAGTAGAAAATCATTACAAAGAACTTTTTTGGCAAAGGAGCTTTTGTCTCAGGTAGTTTGCAGTAAAAAGCAAAAGCACAACAAACAAAAAAAAGAAGTCCTCAACAAAGTTAATGAACTGCTCTAAGATCAGCACGAATCAGAGGAAATATTGTTATTTCTGCTGCTTTGACAAAGTAAGCAGAAGATTGCTGATTGCTTACAGAGGGATAGACAGACAGGAAGATCTAAAAACATCAAGCAAGTGATCAGCAGCAAACTTTGAAAGGAGATGTTCTCAAAATAACTTTGCCTTTCTCCCTTCCAAAGTCAGTCACACGCACTTACAACCGCTAATAAGATTGCTATTTCTTTTATGGAGAACCACAGGTGGAATCTTGCTTAATTCTCTTCATTTGGATGAAGATATTACACAGCATCTTCCTATGGTTCTGTGCAGAACTTTACACAATGAATCCAAACCTGCCTTAATTAAAGCAGGAGTAACTATGGAGTATCTATAGAAAAACATATGAAGAATCATAGAAAAAAAAAAGAATTAAAAGTTTTCTCCAAAGGTTGATATCGTTACTTAGAATCAGACAATTTTCCCCTTGGAAAGAAAAAAAATTGTTTTTAGAAATTTTTTTAATGTGTCTCATTGTCACACTAAGGGTTGTTAACCCTTAGCAAAAGAGCAGCATAAGATATTGTCATTTTTCTTGCAGCACAACAATAGAGAGAAAAGCACTTGTAGCTCATTTTATTTGCTTCCTGAGAACTATACTGGTACTCTAATTTCTGAATAATACACTTTATCATATGACTCTGCATTACCACCAAGCTTTTGCAGAAAAGAAAAGTAAAAAACTACTGTTTTTCAGTTCCTGGTTGAGATGATGATTTTGACTTTTTTACAGAATTATTCTTCTGCTACCATATGTACCTTTGTAACACAAAGAGACTCTGACAGACAAAAATCATCTGTGCTTTTACAAACATTGTGAAAATGCAGAACTAGGGAAGTCTCTAGACTGACTACCACAAAAACTGATATCTTTTGGTTATTCTCAGAAGCAACAGAAGGTTGATCCTCCACTAGAATGCAGAGGGAGATGCAGCAGCAGCAGCTGCAGCCCTGTCTGGAAAACAACAGTAGTCTTATGTGATAAGTTCTGGAAGCCCTTCAGTGAATATAAACACAATTTAGAGGTCCAGAGTGGGAGCACTCCCCACTTCTTCATATAGGTAGTGTGAAGAAACAGCTCTTCATCTACTCCAATCCCTACTCCACAAGTCTCTAAAAGAGGATTCCCTTGAAGAATTTCCCTACTGTACACAAAGAAAAAAACTTACTTTACACTGAAAAAAAAATATCCAAAAGCTGCCAAAGAAGATGAGACACAAAAATCTGTCAACCTTCCCAGTCTGTTTCACAACTACAATGGAAAGGTTTCCTTGCTAGGGCTGAATGAAGAGGTCCAGGCTCTTTCAGATATGAATTGTCTTGCAATTCCCCATCTGTGAAGTATTTAGAGCCTCACCAAGCTCCACATTCAGATTCCAGCATATTTTACTTCCATGTTTTCACTTGTGATGAGTGCATCCTGGCACCCTTCCTCATATTCATCCAAGTAACTGAAAGCCACATTGTATTATCATATGTTCTCCTTAGCCATTCTAAATCATGAAAAAATTTCCTTTTTCTCTGGAAATGTAGGTTTTAGTGGCTTATAGGCAAGAGCCTCTGGGCAAGGGATGTTCATCTCCACTCCTACCACTGTCCTTCATTGTTCACACAACCTGCATGTGTGCTGAGCTGACAAGCAAGGCTAAGAAGCAGCCAGCATATAAAAGAAGGGCTTACCTCCAGAAGTGATAAAAAAGCAAAGGAACATTTAACCCCAGCGTGAGCCACTCCTGAGCACATAAAAACATGATGCAGAAAAGACTGTGGATGGAGTACTCCGGCAGCACCAGCTAAAAGGAAAGGAACAGAAAGAACAGAAGTCAGTAACACAAACACCTCTTTGATTTTAGTCACTTAGGTAGTTTTTCAGAGAACAAATCAACTCTGCAAGTCTTGCAAGTCACCTGTGTGTCTGTCCCTAGACACACCTCAGTTGGCAGACAGCGTGCCTTTGAGTAAGGAGCACAGCACCCAGAGCCAGGTTTGTTAAGGCTCTATGCAAGTTTGTACTCCAAGACGTGGGACAAATCACTTACTGTCTCATCTGGTGTTCCAGATCTCTCTCTACAAAACATACATTATATTAATCCCTCCCTCACAAAAGCATTTTGAGATTAAATGAATGCCAGTAAAAGAGTTTTCAAAGACTGAAGTGTTATTACTGAAGCATTCAGAGAGGAAACAAAGCTAATCCTAATGCTTCTACATTGGAGGAATGTCTCTGGAAAAACAAAGCACTGCTTCAACCATTTAGACATGTTATATACAACTTAAAGAGATCAAATCCATTACCAAGTCAGTCTTGCAAGCACAAACCCACTAAGACAGGAAATTCACTTCCTAAGAAAATCCAAGACTCCCTACACTCGTTGTTTCAGAACCATGACGATTCTTTCTATTAAAAGAGAAAATGAGTGGGCAGCTGGCAGAAGCAGAAATGTATGTGATGTTGATTCAGAGTAGTTATTTCAAAAGGCACTTTGCTTTCTTCACTGCTTTCTCATTTCTTAGCTTTCTTCTCTTGTTTTCTTCCCATGTCTTTTCTCAGAAATCTCTGTTTCTTTTCAAGTCACGGAAAAGACTAAGTTCCAGCAGTGCATATTTCTCAAAACTAGACAAACTCATACACAACTCATCTGCATGCACTGCTTCATCTTGAAGATACATCAACCAAAATTAAATCCCAAAAGGCATTTGGGGGCTTTTTTTAATGACAATTCATTATCATCTATCAAATAATTAAAGTGAGCCCTATTTTTTTTTTTTTTAAACAAGGTAAAATTTACTACACAGTTTTTCCAAACAACTACTCCCATAGAGCTGTGCTGCAAGGAATTCCATCATCTTGGCTCTAGGAGGCTTTCCTACATGGGACATACTGTTTTAATGCATTTCACTTCAGCACTTGAAGAACTTAACAGATTTGGGCATCTCCGTGACTGTGCCTTCAACTAAAACATTCTCAAAGGGCTTACTTTATAGGGATGAGAAATCATAATACAATTATATACTTCAGATTCCAGATGGTACTTATTTATCACTTCTGGATCTTTTTTTTTTTTCAGTTTGAGAATGTGATTTACAACATGACTATAGCCTTTCCCCAAAGAATGATTCATCTTCATAACAAATTGTAGACAAGAAAGGTCTTCATGATGTACATCTGCCCACTGAACATCACAACACTTAAAAGCATATTACATTCATTTTCACATATTTGATTGCTGGTTCCAACACAATACATAAACTTAGCTAGACTGCAGCCCTGGTGCCTGATCAGTGGGCTGGCTGGTAATAACAGGGAAGGAAACCCACGGTGAATATTTATGCAGAGCTAGAAAAACAAACCAAGAATCTGCAGTGAAATTAGAAAGGAAGCAAAGGAAGCTGAGGACTCTCAGAAGTAGGCTCACTTTCCAGTCACAACTTCTGGTGTAAATTAAATCTATCTATACTTGTGGTAGAATAGCAAAAGGGTCATTGATGTCTCTTCAACCTTTTCTTGGAGTGGTATTTTCCTGTAGACATAAATAAGAAAGGATCATTGCTAATCACTGTTTCTGGAGAGAATTCCTGCAAAGAAGGAAACAAAGCTCAGCCTGCAAAGCCAGTTACATTCAGCTGATGCACTTCACAGACCAAATCTAAATGGAGGTGTGAGACTTGGAAGCATAAAGCATAGAAAGGCACTAACTAACAGCAAGGCTTATGAGGTCAAGTAAATAACTAAAATAAAACACTGCCTCAGTTCTTGGCTGTAAGAATCATCCTGCAATTTGACACTATATCCTCTGAAAACAATGAAAACTTCAAACCAACTTTAGCAAACATGGGATTCAGCTCCTGGAGAGAAGAAAGCTGGCTGAGAAACAAGCAGCAGTCAATCCTTGTAGCTCCTGCTGAGGTACTCAACTGCAAAGCAACTTCAGCGGTACAGATAACTGCAACAGGAACTAAACCAATGTCTTTAATTCATTCCTGTGAGAGCATAGGAAGCTGTCAGATGGTAAACATGTTAGGATATAAATAGTACATTTCTATTTTGAACCAGGAACATCCTGATTCAAATAACGACCTCTGCTTTCTGACACAGCTCAGGATAAAGCTTGTGGTGGTTATGAAACATGGAGGAGAAGGAGAAATTGCCATAGCAGCACAACCCTTAAGGGAGGCAACTTGGTCACTTTGAGTCCCAAGCTCAAATGGCACCACAAATTTATCACCAGAAATTCAGATGGCTGATATTTCACTGTGGAAAACCACAGGAAAGCCTGAAAAGGAAGTCAGCTTCTAGAGAAAAAAAAACCAAAATGCTGCTAATCAGAAATGCCTTCTGCTACAACATAAGCAAGGGAAAAAGAAACCACTGTAACTTTGTTAGTGTTGTTCTGATATAACTGTACAGTTAAATAAATGTCCACATCAGTAAACCCTGATTCACAATTTATCACTCACATTTAGATGTAAAACCTTAGGTGGGTATCATGCTCATTACCACCTCACCAAAGAATTCATTCTCATATGAGGTAGTACACACACACTGCACATGGAGATTGATCTTCTCCTAATTCCATAGAAAACAAAGCAGGCTTTGCTGTGGACAAATACCTAGGTTTGGCTGAACTCAAGAGCAGGAAACAAGCACTGAATTCAAGCACTTATCAGCAGCTTCTTTCTGTTTATAGGAATAAAAGGACCTCTTTAGAGAAGCTCAGCCCTAAATAAAGTTCTGTTTCCCATTTCCTAAATCTATTCTGTTGTTCTTATACAAAAGATAGGTTTATCTTTTTCTCTCTGTACCTTCCCTCCTTATTCTGTTTATTAAAGATGGATACCATCCTCTCAAATGTAATTTTGATTTTACAGGACACTGTATCATTTTTACATGGAATGACTTTTACAGTTTGTCTCACCAGTGAACAGGGCCCATAAAATACCTCATAGAAAACAGAACTGGGAAGATATTAGGAAGATATTATAGCAGGAATACTAATATCCCTTCATCAGTGCTATTAAATTCTCACAAATCTCAAAGAGTTTTCCCACTCTTAAGCCACTGAAATGTCAAGATGCTTCTTTCCAGCACTTTGCTTAGACCAGTGCTCCTGAGTGCTACACACTAATAATAATAATTCTCACAGAATTGCTGTTCCTTCCCCAAAACACCCAAGAGTCTCCATCAGTCTCCATCTGCGCCTGTCAACCTCCACACTGCAACCACAGATTTTACACTGTACCCAGAAATTGCCAGCCATTACACACTCTCTACCCTACCAGAGCTTCTGAGAGTCTTCATTACACTGTTGGAGGCTGAAACAACTTCCTCTCTTAATGCCTGCCTTCTCCTCCCACAGACAGCAGGAAAATCCTGCAGAGAAGTGGGGGTTGAATCTCCTTCTGGTGATTACCCCAGTGCAAACGTGTTGTTCACCTTAAAATCACACCAGTCCCTTTCCAACCACCTGAAAGCAACAGAAAACTTCATCATGCATGTGTGGAATCACTGCCAGGCCCCGGATGAGGTCTGATCCAAGTGCACTCTGCTTTATTGCAGTGGTTATTGCTACTGCATCTGCCTGCACTAGAGGAGGGCTGCAGCTTGTCACTGTGGGGCTCATTTGCTGCTTTTTCCACCACATCCCTCACAAAAAGCTGACAGAATCAGTCCTCATCAATAGCAGGGCAAAGAGGGGGTGGAGGTGTACCCAAGGTTTTCAGGACACAGGAGTTATTTCAATAGCACTTTAAAGCCCATCCCTGCAGAGCCTGCCAGAGCTAACCTGGGTTACTGGGGAGTATCAGCTGAGTTAAAGACACTGTGAGATCAAAGGGAGATTATTTAATGACTCCGAAATTCCCCTAACTGAACAGCACAGACTGGAAAAATCAGAAATGTAGTGCAAGAAAGTGAAAAAAAGAAAGCAAAACCACACAAAAAAATAGTAGCAGCATGTGCCTTAGCCCAGACTGTGTGTGTATGTGGAATGTACATACTCTGAAACAAATCATCTGTTTCCTCCTGCTGCTGCACAAACCAAAGAAGAAGGGTCAACTATGTGTGATTTAAATACACAGACCATACATCTTAATAATTCCAACAGTTTTAAACATACTGTTTGCTTTGATCAAACAGACGAAACACTAAATTTTACTCTTGAAATACAAGAAGTCTTCCCACTTTTCTAGTGTATCCTTCTAATCTACTTTAAATGATTTGGGTTACTTGACTTCCAAAACCTCTTCTGAAAGGCTGCCCTAGAGCCCAATACAATGCTGTCACAGTAAATATACTAAGGTTTTCTGTCCAAATATTCAGGTCCAATTTATTTCAATTCTCCTGTTAAAATCCACACTTGCTTGTGTCTCTACAGACTGTTTGCTAGTTGTTAATTCAGTAACATCAAATTGTTATAACACAAACACGTAACAAAACCATTTTAAGTAATTCAAAACCATGTTATACAAACCACTAAGAGTATTTAGCAGTTTGGTAGGTAGATTTGTGCATGCAGTTCAGAAGAAAATGCTTGGGAAATGGATTCCAGATCATCAAAAGGACAATGTGCAGCTGAACCTAGTAAATTAATAGATGCAGCTTTACATTTTATCTGGGGGAGAGCAGCAGCACACATATTCAAGACTTAATGTTACAAACAAAATGCAGAGCACAAGTTAAAAAAAAAAGAAAGATATAACATCTGTGTTTTCACCCCTCCACTCACTGCTTGGGATCACAATGAAACAAAGCAGCAAAAAGCCAGTTCTTTTTGAAGGTAATTTAATTATTCTA